AGAGTAAAGCACGAGGGAGGGGCTAATAATCGGCTCAGTCATTTTTAATGATCGTTGAAAGCCCAGATCGTAATCGAGATTAAAATTCGATTAATTGAGCAGCCCTATAGAGCAACATTAGCATTCATTTGGATTCCAGCTGGTTTGCATCTGATGACTGTACCACCAGTTTTCACTCTCTCTGCTTTAGCTTCACTCAGCTGCCTTCCTGTCGTTGCCAATTAGCGTGTAGGACAGTGTGCAGGTGCGGGTTTATCAGAGCTCGCTGACAAAAAGCAGCTACTGAAACGGATGAACCATATAAACTTTTAAGCTTACTGTTAGTACTGCTGTCTTCTAAGTCGTGCTGTGTGTGTTTCTTATTTCAGGATGACAAAGACACTTCCTCCAACAAAGAGTCTCTGGATGACCTCTTTCCTGCTGAGGATGAGGAGCAGTCTTCGAGTGAGGCTCTTCTAGGCTTTGAAATGTGTTTTTATTATTGTTTTGAACACCTCCCTGTCTCCAAAATGACAAAACCCTTTTTTGATAGATTTTTTTTGGATACAGAGGAGGTGTTGAGTAAATGCAAACTGTTTTTAATTTAAATTAGTCAATACATTGAGCACAACTCTCATCATGATTTACTTTGAGTGCTTTAAGAAGTGTCAGCGTTGAAATTGGAGGCAGATACTGGTTTACATCTTCACTGGGCATAGATAAGCTCAAGGTGTAACTGTTGCTTCTAATCCTGATATCTGAGTAACTGCTGACACACAACAGACACATTTTATCAGCTTACACATGAATTTAGAGCGCATGAAGGTGGAAGCATGAAAGCGATCTGTGAATCTCTGTAGTGTGAAATACGACGCCAGTCTGACGTTATCTTTTAGGACAGCGGCGTCCTTTTAGAAAATGGTGAAACATGAGTACGCATCGCTACCTCCTTTGACTTTTGTTTTTTGACAGCATTAAAGCCTGACAAAACCTTAAAGATATAAGCTTTAGTGTTTTTAGAGGTTAGACGACTGCAGGTTGAGTGTGAGTGACCAGGGAGAAAAGATGAAATGGGAAAATAAAAATTTTTGCCTGCATTTATTGTTATGCTTAAACTTTTCTATTATGATCAATTTTACTTAATTGCCTAAATAGCAGTGCAATTATGCAGCCAGTTTTCATGTAATACATCTTTATTTGGGCTTAACACCATCCATCCATTCATCTAAAAAATTGTTTTCATCATACTTTATTTGTGAGACATACAGTATAGAAAACAGGTCAAATTAAGGGGATGGTTAGGTTGGCTTCATCGGGTGA